CATACCTCTGGGATTTCAGTGCAGCTTTTTGCCACTAGACCACCAGAGCTCCCTTCCATTAGTTCTTTTTTCATTTGTTAACCCCCAGAGAGATTGTGAAATTGTGGAAATGAATTTTTCCCCTACTTCAATACAAGAAGGGTTTTTCTAAAAATGGCCAGTAAAGTAGACAGAGACCAAGTCCTTCTTCCTATGGCATAAAAACAAAATTTTATTTCAGGTTGGATAAGAGTAAATAAAAATAAAATACATTGAGGCCAGTCTACAGGTGCAGAAAAGGATTATAAACTGGTATTCCAGCTCTTGCAACCTGGGTTAAATTGGAGGTTCATGCTGTAGATGGACAACATAACGCTGATGCTTGCCTTTGACCTGCATTGTTGTGCTAGAAGAAACATTTATTGAGAGAAAGAAATGGAAATCCGTACAGTTCTGAAACACCGGTCGTTTGATGTGATTCTTGCCATGACGTTTCCAAAATCTCTGCGTTAATTTTTGAGCTCCTGACTCTCTTGGAAAGTTCCATAAATCCTGAACACTGAGGGGCAATTCCGACCCCTGCTGAAACCAGAAGTTGTGGAAGGTTTTGACTGCATTTAAGGGGCATTTTAAATATCATTGCCGTACCTCGCTGACCCCTCAGGAACATCTAAAAGATCCCTGAACTGGGATCAAGAGGTTAAACTCAAATTCTTGTTTCCACCCTGCCTTTCAAAGTGCTGATAATGGGTAGGAAACTATCTCCTTCCTCGGCTTTATTTTGTCATCGATGTAATGTGGTTCTCTTAGTTCTTAGCCCTTAGCATGTTAGCTCTGCTCAACATGCTAAGAAAAGAAGAAAGGGTAAGAAGGAGCTCTGGAAGCCTATGAGTAGGGAGTTGCACTGCTTACCCAAACTCATGGGGTTCAAATCCACCAAGACGCTCAAACCCCTCCCTTAATATTTGTTGTGGAGTGCTGTGGAGTCGGAACTGTTTCATAGCTGAATCTCCAACAGATTTTTTGGAGGCAGTAAAATAATCGCTAGGGAGGAGATTGCCTATCTTTCTCCCCCAGAACTGTTTTTCTTTGTATTAACGGTGCAACCAGAGCTCTCTCTCTCTCTCATAAGATATGAGCTCAACACCCAGGCAATCATTGTTCTTTATATTGTTTCTACTGCCTTATTTCCGCCCTTCAGTCTGCGTTCTGTCAATAAAAGTTGTCACTTCCCTTGCTTTTCCCAGCCTTTCTTTAGATCTCCCTTTGTAACTTCCATTTCTTTTCTTGCAACTGCTTCCTCTGACTATCCTTAAGAAAATCTTGAGAGATACAGAAATCTGGGTCTGGTACATGCATACTTTTTTTTCTTAAGCTGTGTGTCCTCCAACAAGGCAATTGACCTCCTGTGCCCCCCTGCCCATTGTGATCCTGGTCCTTGCCCACCCTCAGAGGGTTGATTCTAGGGAGGCAACAGACAATAACTGCTCTGAAAGCTGTTCTGTGAAGAATTAAGGGTGAAAGGACTTTAATTTTTATTGTAGCCAATCTCTCAGTTATTACCTTTTGATTTACAATCCGTAGTTCCCAACCATCCCCTGTAAAGCCTATTATATTAGCGTGGAGTTTATCTTTAATATGACTTTCCTAGCCTCTATTTAATTTTCCCATGTAGACTGACAGATTATGCAAATGAGGCATGTTAGCCTATTCTCAAGGCTAGTCTCACCATTAAATTGAGCAATCCCGTAGCATGAGAATTAGAATCTTCTCTACTGCCAGCAAAAAAGAAGCAAGAGTTATAACAGCAGCAGCAGCAGCAGTCATAGCCAAAGGCAAGGAGCACTAGAGAGATCAGACATGAGATGGAGCTGACTGCTACCCTCAAAGACAGAACCAGAGCTAAAAACTAAGAGCATGTGTCCAAGTTTGCTGGACAAAAATAGAAGGAAGCCAATACTAGCAGGACTGAGAACTTTGTAACTCTGACCTTAAGCTGGGAGGCTCAAGGCTGATATGCCTGTGAGCACATTTTAGAAGATTTACTGACTGTATTATGCTTTAACCTGGATTATAACTTTTTAACTTCCTTACTGTAGTTCTTCGTGGTCTGTGAGCTATCACATCAAATTTTGGACCCAGTAAAGGAGTAAAATTTGTGTTGAGATGAGTAGAAAGAAGTGTGGAAGCATGGGAATTGGTTTGGTGTTACTGATGCTGTTGACAGGGACAGTTCCACTTTGTGAAGTTGGTAAAGAGGAGATATGGCCATCCACATGTGGCCCTTGCTCTTCTTACAATTAATTCAAGGCAAATACTGCATCTGAGCCTAAAATCTAAAAGCTTCAGTTTATGAAATAGTTGGAATCCTAACTCCATTCAGAGCCTCCACATAAATTCAGATGCCATTTTGAGTTCTTTATTCTAATTACACAACTCTTCCGACCATTAAAAGGAGAGCATGTTGTGTGCTGGGCTGCTAATTAAAAATTAGGGGATTTGAATCCACCTGGCAATATCCCGTTCAAAATTACACACTTGGAAGCCTGGTGGAGGTTACTATTAATTGAAATAGAATCAATCATAGTAGATTTGGTTGTTTTTCATATAGAGCATAACGGTTGGAGAATTTGACTGCTAACCAAAAGATCAACAGTTGAAACCCACCAGTTGCTCTGAGGGAGGAAGCTGAGGTGGTCTGATTCAGAAAGATTTATAACCTTGGAAACCATATGGGCAGATATATTCTGTCCTGGAACAATGTCTATATGTGCTTTATTGACTATGCAAAGACATTTGACTATATCAAGCATAAAATATTGACAAGAATGGGAATCCTAGAATACTTAGTTGTGCTCAGATGAAACCTATACCTAGACCAAGAAATTGTTGTGTAAATAAAGCAAGGGAACACTGTTGTTATGTGTCATTGAGTTGCCTGCAACTTGTAGTGACCTTATGTACAATAGCTCTGAAATATGCCTATCCTGAGCCAATTTCACTCTCTTTGACACATCTACTCCCAATATCCCCGTTACTGAGTCAATCCATCTCATCCAGGTCTTCCTCTCTTGTGCTGTCTTTCCACTGTTCCAAGCATGATGTCCTTCTCCAATGAATGGTCCCTCCTGGAAACATGCCCAAATTATGTGAGATGGAGCTTCAAAATCCTTGCCTCCAAGGGGCAACTTGGTTTCACCCTCTCCAAGACAAACCTGTTTGTTCTCTTGGCAGGCCATGGTATATTCAATACTCTTCTCCAGCACCACAACCCAAAGGCATTGATTCTTACACGCCATCCTTTTCAAAGCTGGTGGATATGCACTGACATCTGCAGATGTGCCGACAGCAGGTTTTTAGAAGAGAAAACTGCCTAACTTTTGGGAATAAGCCACAAAATGTTCTTGGACTCTGTGAGTGGAAAGAGAAATATCCTTATATGTGAGCCAGAGTATATGTGATAAATTTAGGGATAAGTTTAGTCTTACCTGTTCTTAAAGAAAAACTGTAACAATCCAAGGAAAGGTTCTGGAAACTGACAGAAAAATTTAGCCTGCTATGCTGCAACTAGGGCCAGAACAGCCAAAAAATCACTGCATAATGACAAGAAGAAGAAGCAAAACCTCAGACTGTGGGCCAACCTCCTTTGTAAAACCAGACGAAGTTTTACCAAGAAAGACAAAACTAGCAATTGTTCATAGAAGGATGAGTAAAATGATCATGGAGATGAAGGAATCGCAGTGAGGTATGCCAGAGACGTTAAGAGTTTTAGTTAAAATTGTGTCTGTGTAGATGATAGATAGAACTGAAATGTGCTATGACTAGCCAATGTAAATTTTCACCAAGTACTAGAAAATACCACTTGAAACCAGAAATAAATAATGGAGGAGTAGCAGAAAGAAAAAAGACATTGATCCTTCTACTGTCATCTTTAGTCATTGTCCAACTTGTTCTCACATACCTTGGGCCTCACATACTATGTTGAAAGGAGAAGCTATTCCTTGGACAAGGACATCATGCTTGGCAAGGTAGAGTGACAGCAAAGGAGAGGAAGACCTCAATCAGGTGGGTTGACAGTGATTGCAGCAAGTGTATCAGAGTTTGTGAGGTTAGCACAGAATAGGTCAGGGTTCTGATCTGTTGTTCATAGGATCGCTATGAGTCGTAGTAGATTTAACAGCACCTAACAACAATATTCTGTCCTTTAGAGTTGCTATGGGTCAAAATTGTCTTAAGGTCACCAGATGCTGACTGCAAAACAGACTATCATTTACTCATGTTCAAGTTCAAATTGAAACTGCAGAAAATGAAAACAAGTTTACAAGAACCAAAATTCAATCTTTAGTCTATCCCACCTGAATTTAAAAACCATCTTAAAAATAGATTTGACATTGAATACTAATGATTGAAGACCAAATGAGTTGTGAGATGGCATCAAGGATATCATCTAGGAAGAAAACAAAAGATCATTAAAAGACAGGAAGAAAAAGAAGACTAAAATGGAAGTCAGAAGAGACTCTGAAAATTGAATGCTGAGAAGCCAAAACAAAGGGAAGAAATGGTGAAGAAAAGGAAATGAACAGAAGAT